AAAAAAAAAAAGGGAAAAAATGCTTAAAGTGATTGATTATCTTTATGGAAAAAAAAACATGCATGACAAAAAAAGTTTTTAAAAATCCATTTTCGTCATTTTCTAAAAACAGATATTTCTGACACGAGGGTAAAAATGTTCTAGTATCTTGCCTTTTCTGCATTTGCATGCTAAACAGTTATTTTGAGCTGTATCACAGATTTCTCAAACACCTTTTGTGGTATTAAGCTGCTCATAATACCCAAATATGCAGATCAATTCAGAGCCAGATGCTGAATATTCCAGCAGACTTCTCACCGCCGAGCTTTTTTAAAATCCGGGGGGGGTTGAAATAATGCGCGCCGTGAGCCGATGGAACCGGGAGAAGAAAAAAAAAAGTGATTAAAGAAAGCAACATCTGCATCAGCAGCTCAATAAAGGCTTAATGTGAGGAGCTGCTGGTGCTGATGTTACAGAAACCCCCGGGGTTCCCCCCAGGGGGGGGGGGGGGGGGGGGGCACTCAGCCCGGAGCTAACTTCTTATTTCGTCTCATTAACAGTCAAAAGAGACAAGCAGTGTCCTTATTTATCTCACTTTTGTTTTGTTTTAATTTTGTATTGTCTTTATGTTTTATGTTCACATATAAAAAAAAAAAGAGAACAAACATGTATTGTTGAGGTTGTAATTCTGATGTAAGTCTGATTTCTCAATAAAACAGTTTGACAACAAAAGAGACAAGCAGAGCTCCAAGAGTTTAGCTGGAACCTTTAGCTCTCGTTGTGTTTCACAGAAAAAAAAAGGGGAAAAAATAACATTTTGCTGTCAGCAGAAACAAAAGTGATGTCCTCAAAAAAGAAAACTAGCAAATAAAAAAAAGGGCTAAATGACTTAATTTAGATTCAGAACCTTTGACTGATTAAACACAGAGAAGTGCAGGTTTTAGATGGTCCAGGTTTTATTTGTTTTGCTCCTCTGTGGGCCCAAAAACAGTTAGAAGCTTCTTCCTCTTGAAAACAGTGACACCTTGTGGACAGAGCAGACATTACAAGTGTCCAGACAAGAAGGCCGCAGCTTAAAAACCCAAAAAACCTACACGGCTTCGTTTATTGTGACAAGTTTAAGGAAAAAACAAAAAAAGTGTTGCTGTTTTTTTCTTATAGATCTTCCCTTACTGTGCGTTTCTTCTCATTGTTGATAGAAGCCCATTTGTTCTACCCATCAGTCATATATTTTCTGTTAGTTATTCCCAAATTTGATGTTTTAATGTAGTGGGATGTAAATGAATAGCAGGTGACCAGAAGGCAGGAGGGGTCATTAGTGGGACAAACCCAGTGTTTATTAAATTACTCACCGTGAGATGAAATCCAAACGGGGCAGAAACCAGAATTCAAGCAGAAAATAATAAAAGATCTGAAACAGCTGCGTGGTGATTAGCAACTCTGACCTGGTGTGAAGGAAGCAGAGTGTGTTTTGTTCCTAAATCCATCTGAAAGCAAAGAGAAAAGCAAACGAACACAAGAAAACCAAGATGAATCCGTCAAAAACAGATTAATCATTCAATCTGAGATTTTATTGGATAGCGTTCGATCAATTCTTAAAACTTGTTTATATTTTTTATTTAATCATAAATCATGGTTGCATACCAATACTGAATCAGGTAAGTCTTGTCTTTATTTCACATTCAACACCATTTGGAGCAAAACTTCTGTTCTCCTCCCCTCATGCTTTGCATTATTGTGGATTTATTCAATATTGTTTTTGATTTTTTTTTTAAATAATTTAAATATTTCCCAGGTCTGTCAATGATTACACAAACCCACCTGGTTAGTTTCCTTTCTGATACAGATTTGTTTTGCATGAGAGCAGATTTCAAATGAATTTGAGAGTACTTAGCAACACCAGGCAGCCACATTTAAACGCTGGTAAACTCAAAGTGACACTTCTGGGACCGGCTGATAATTAAACAGCCGGAGGTGGCACAGACACAGCCATCAACTTTGCAATTTTTTAAAAAAACTACAGAAAAACTCTTCAGCAAATCTAACCGACACACTAAAGAAAACTTCTCATTTTGGGAAAGTCCATTTCAATATGGATGGCATGTCCCATGTTCTCGCCCAGTTTTATGTCCACATGTCAGGAGGATGATCGGTCAGAGGAACATCCCATAGATGTGATGACTTAACAGTATGGGGGAGAATTTCTGCCTTGAATGTGTTAACCATCTCAGAAGGGAGAGGTCGGACACCTCAAATGTTCTTTGACTCTGACCAGCTGGGAGTGGCTCTGTGCGTGAGCTTTGTGGAGCTTTGCCGGAGGAGAATTAACAAAGGCAACTGGGAGAAAACAGTCAAAACAAGTCCAGACAATGGCTCTAATGTTTAATTTCTAATTTAGCAGAAACCTGTTGGGTCGAGTGGTAGAGAGAGGCCCCTACAGGAAGTTAAAGTAACACCAGATTTGATTTATCCTTAAACTATTCTTTTTTTTAAATAGCTGAACAAATCATGTAACTATTTAAAAAAGCAAGCTGGAACTGTATCAGACATTAACTTTAGGAGAAGAATAGAAATGAGGAGACAACTGTGGAGCTGGAAACCAAAAACGGGGACAACCAGGATTACTAGGAGTCATGGCATTAGAAAACTCAGAACCAAAATTGTATGGGTTAAATACATTTAAGAAAAAAGAGAATTAAAAAAAGAAATGAGGAAAAAAAACTATCAACTCTGATAGAAAGAGAATACGCTCACAATCTTGATGTGATCCTATCGTAAAAGTCTTCTGAAGGGAAACATGTGAAGGCCAGTCGTGGTGATCTGAGGTGTGGGCGGGGCCAGATGAGCTCATTCACAGAAGAAAAAGAGAGAAAGTAAAATCACAAGTCCCTTCTAAGCCATCAGGGCATTTTTCTAAGCAAAACCTATTGGGTAATGTATCAGTGGGATTTCTGAATAGATGTTCAGTTTTAGAAGTATGAAATAAGCTATTTTTTCTGCTTTTTTAACTGAGAAGAGGGAACTTCTCTCTCAGATCAGAGTGTTTTCCTCACTCCTGGTTTTCTCCAGATGACTCCACACGTGACTCTGTTTACACTGTACAGAGGGAATGTCTTGATGAATTACACATTAAAAGAATTTACCCGTTTACTGCTAACTGACCCTGTACACAATCCAAACCGACTCCTGGGCAGACGTCAAAGAAGCTGCTGAGTCATTTCCTTAAGATTTAAAATCCCGGAGTGCCAGGATGGGATTAAAGCTAAAGCACAACAGGCTGGTTCAAATGGACTCTTCTCTTGGCTTTTTTTTTTTCTTTTTTAGATCATTAATCTTGAAGTGTTGAGGTTATAAATCCAAATGTTTTGCTTGATTTATTTCAAGAGCATTCACCTAACTTGTAAACAGAAGCCTGGTTTTAAAGATAAATTATTAAACTTATTAGTTTCTCCTAAGCGTTAAAGATTAAGCATTAACCAACTCTCAGGTTTAA